ATAATAAATACATAGGCATGTATCTTTAAAATACCACAATGAATACTGTTAATCTGTATATGTCATGTGTTAGTAGCTGTCTTAGGAGGATCAACAAAGCCAGAAAATGCTGGTGGTATGAAGGATTTGGAGCTTTGCTCTCTGGTAGGATTGAAAGTACTTTGAGAAACAACTGGGTAGCCATGTATAAAGTTAAACGAACACCCTTCTGAAAGTGCCCAGTTATCATACCTGTAGCCCCAGCCTTCTATGAACTTCAGCCACTGCAACACACATCCTTCATTGCTAAGCCATCATCACAACATCACAGGGAAGACCCTCTCTGACCTCGGCCCAGGCAGTATGAAGAAAAAGGAGTCCAGTCAAGCTGTGTGCATCAACTTTTCAGCCTTACTGTTCAATCAATGGATTGCTTTAGGCAGTGATTGACCTCTATTATAAAGTCCCATGTAAGAGTCCATAAACACTTACTGAAACAATCCCTCTGATTCATTTGAATGTCAGTTTTTCCTTCTGTGACAAATTTTTCCGTATTTCACACAGACTAATTTTCTGATCTTGTGTGATGCTTGATTTTGACTTTTGACTTGACTAGATTAAGAAATGCCCAGGAGATTAGAAAGCTCAGCACTGGCTGTACATGTGAAGATGTTTGCAGAACATTAGACCACAGGGGCTCAGACCAATCCAGTGGTTTAATGCTTTGGTAGATCCCTATGACAGCACTGATGGAGAGGATGAGAAGTAGGTAAAATGCAGAGGAAGCAGATGACTAGAGAATGTCCTTTGGAATGTATCCTGGCATGGCCTCTCTCTGTATCTGCTTCCTGTCTACCATGAAGGTCTTCTATCACATGGCCTGAGTACCATCAGGTTCTGCCCAAACAGACAGAGCTGAGCAACCATGGACTGAACTCTGAAATTATAAGCTAAAACAACTCCTTGGTCCTTAAGTTGTTTCCATTGGATAGTTGTTCCAAGCAGCAAAAACATAAAAAAGCACATATCCACACCTGAAATTTTAGCAAGCTTCCTATACAATCCCACTATTATGATGGACAGGTATCTCCTTGTCAATGTGCTCAAACTCAAACTCATTTTCTGATCCCAAAATGGCCTCCTCCAGCTTTCCTGCTGTTAATCAACGGCAATCTACCCATGGTTTCCTAAGACCCAAACCTCAGCATTTTTTAATGTATTTTTATTGGATATTTTATTTATTTATACTTAGTTACATTTCAAATATTATCCCCTTTCCTGGTTTCCCCTCCGGAAACCCTCTATCTCATCCTCCCTCCCCCTGCTTCTATGAGGGTGCTCACCCAGCCACACACACCTCGCCATCCTCTGCTACATATGTGGCTGGAGCCATGGGTCCCTCTATGTGTACTCTTTCGTTGGTGGTTTAGCCCCTGGGAGTTCTGGGAGAAGGGGTCTGGTTGGTTGACATTGTTGTTCTTTCAATGGGTTGCAAACCCCTTCAGCTCCTTCAGTCCTTCCTCTAACTCCTCCAATGAGGCCCCTGTGCTCAGTCCAATGGTTGGCTGTGTGCATCCGCCTTCGTATTTAGATATAGATGTGTGCATCTAGCAGAGCCTCTCAGGAGACAGCTATACCAGGTTCCTGTCAGCAAGCTCTTCTTGGCATCAGCAATAGTGTCTGGGTTTAGTGTCTGTATACGGGATGAATGCCCAGGTGCAGCAGTCCCTGGATGGCCTTTCCTTCAGTCTCTGTTCTACACTTTGTTTCCGTATTTCCTGCCTTGAGTATTTTGTTCTCCCTTCTAAGAAGCAGGAAGCATCCACACTTTGGTCTTCCTTCTCCTTGAGCTTTTTGTGGTCTGTGAATTGTATCTTGGGTATTCCAAGCTTTTGGGCTAATATCCACTTACAGTGAGTGCATGCCATGTGTGTTCTTTTGTGACTGGGTTACCTCACTCAGGATGATACTTTCTAGTTCCATCCATTCGCCTAAGAATTTTGTAAATTCATTGTTTTAAATAGCTGAGTAGTACTCCATTGTGTAAATGTATCACATTTTCTGTATCCATTCCTCTGTTGAGGGACATCTGAGTTGTTTCCAGCTTCTGGCTATTATAAATAAGGCTTCTATGGAGCATATGTCTTTGTTATATGTTGGAGCATCTTTTGGGTATATGCTCAGGAGTGGTATCGTTGGGTCCTCAGGGAGTACTATGTCCAATTTTCCGAGGAACTGCCAGACTGATTTCCACAGTGGTTGTACAACAGATTGGTAAAAGATCTTTACCAACCATACAACTGACGGAGGGCTAATATCCAATATATACAAAGAACTCAAGAAGTTAGACTCCAGACAACCAAATAACCCTATTAAAAATGGGGTACAGAGCTAAACAGAGAATTCTCAACTGGGGAATGTCAAATGGCTGAGAAGCACCTAAAGAAATGTTCGACATCCTTAGTTATCAGGGAAATGCAAATGAAAACAACCATGAGATTCTACTTCACACCAGTCAGAATGGCTAAGATCAAAATCTCAGGTGACAACAGACGCTGGCAAGGAGGTGGAGAAAGAGGAACACTCCTCCATTGTTGGTTGGATTGCAAGCTGGTACAAACCTCAGCATTTAATCTGACAGTTCTATCCCCCTCCACCCTTACCCAGTCCATCAGTAGACACCATTTACAATTTCTATGCCCTATGTATTACTTACTCTCATTTCCACTGCTTCCAATCTAAGGTCTGGGCCTCCATGTCCGCCATTTTGGCTACCCAACAGATTTCTAAAATCTTTCTACTCCTACTCTGGTCCATTTTAATTCAATCTACTCAATTTCAGTGTCCTATTAAAAAGAGAGATGGGATAAAGTCAGTCCTCTGAATTAAGGTCCTTAGAGGTTCATGATACTTCCAGAATAATATCAAGATACCTTAGTATGACTGACAACATCTGCCACTTGGGTCTCACATGCTTCAGCCTTTATTTGTCTGTTCTAAAAACACCAGGCTTTCGTTCAGGGACTTCAATGTACCTATGTCTTACCTCCTCCACAGCAAGCATGCCTTGAGGCCTTTGCACAAAGGAATTTTCTCTCCCTGGAAGTTCCTTTGGCACTTCCTTAATTCTTCTCACTCACATAACGCACTACTGTTTGCAACTATGTATTTTTGAATGCTTACTTCTCTACTATCTGACTCCTTCCCTCAGATTCTAGATTCTATGAAGGCAGAACCATGTATATCTTTCTGGATACACCCACAACAGTCAGAATAAGTGCTCAATAATAACTTTGGACTTCATTCAGCTTAGCTCTTCAACTTATCTATTTTGAAGTTTGGCCTAAAGCACACTTGGACTTTCTCATTTTAACATCTGAATTACTATACTTTTCTCATTCCTAGCAATGGTGAATTTGCTGGACCTTCATTATCTCTAGTTAGAGGAAGAAGAAAGGGAACTACACTGGCCAGTTGAGAGATGAGAATACATGAGGCTGACTGTTCTATATGTTCGTTCTGAGAAACTTCTAATTGGCCTGCAGACAAGCCAGATATAACACATCATGTCTTATAATGGTTTCATGGTGAAACAAAGCATCCCAACCCATAGAGTTTGAAATTCAGTAGAAACATAAGAAACACATAAATGGAAAGGGGGTCAGAAAACGAAGTCAGCTGTAAGAGAAAAGCTAAGGATCCCTACTGAAACTGGTGTTTGAGCTGAGCTCCAGGCAGTTGAGAGGTCACACAGGCAAGAGGGAGGAGGTACGGTACAGAGTGAGCAAAGCATACTCCAGAAAACCAAAGCCTGCAGTATATACTAAAAGCAGAGACAAGAAAAGAAGACCGACGACTTCATCACCTTTTGAAATCTCCATCAATAGCGGCTGGGTCATGAGATTGTGAGCTTTTCAAAGTGTGAGCTTTCCATTCAACTGTGACTTCATAGTTGTGACATGTGACTAACACAACTCACATATCACAGCTGTGACTTCATAGTTGTGACATGTGACTAACACAACTCACATATCACAGCTGTGACTTCATAGTTGTGACATGTGACTAACACAACTCACATATCACAGCTGTGCCTTCATAGCTGTGACATGTGACTAACACAACTCACATATCAAGCCAGGCTCTCAATAGTTCATCTCCAGTCCAAGAGCTCTGTCCTGCTTCTTCAGGTTCTGTTCTAACAGAGGTGTCCCCACTGTAGGAAGCTGCTGTCTGCTACAATTTCTCTGGCTGATGAACGCTTAAATGGCTTACAAGGTAAGGAAAGATTCCAAAATGTAGTAATCTTTGCATTTTTTAATCTTTTCCATGTTTGTGAGCTCCCTAAGTATAAGTAATAAATATGATGAATTCAATGTCATTCAACAATATAATACTATACTATTTAAAATATATGCTTCTTAAGATAGCAAATAAAAGTACTTCTAAGAAGCAAGCAAGATAGTATAACGTGTGGAGCAATATGACCAAAGTGGGTCAGATATATGAAAATGTCACACGCAAACCCATGATTCTATACAGGTAACATATGCTAATAACAAAGACTTCTACAGGACACAGGACTTTCAGTCATACCAAACCAGCTCTTCATAGACCACTGAACGAGATGACCCTACAAGGTGATAAACAGGAAGGCTAATTCTTCGAGGCTTCTTTTTATGCTCCTTGATCAGAGGAAGTGGCTGTTGCATCTTCAAGAGATGGCGAAGTGAATGCTAAAAAGACCGCTGCAAATTCCTGCCTCTGCACCTGAGTATCCTCCCTTAGGAAAGCCACCATTAAAGCAGAAATTGGGATTAAGGATTTCAAGTGAAAAAATAAAGGAAAATAAGATTTTAAAACATATTGCATGAAACGAAAGGACCACCTGACTTGTCATTAACAGAGCATGAGGATGCACCATAATGTCTCATAGTGATATGAATTTCATTAGTCAGACAATAGAAAAACTCTGGGATGCTGGGCCAAGGTAACTCATGTACTTGTCTAATCTCACATACCCTGATGTCGATGGGTTTGTTCCTAGTCTCTCTGGCTACTGAAATGCTGCTCGGATGACTCTGTCACTCAAGGGCTGGGTAGGTCGGAAATTGTCTCCCAAAATCCCATCACAGCCTTCGACAAGTTCTGCCCCCTTAACATGCGTCCTCAGCCTTCGAAATTCTTCTATCTGGAAAGAAAAGCAGAATAAAAGAAATTAGTCACTAGCCATACATATGCAAGTTCAGAATTTCATAAGCAATTTAAAATATCCATAAATTATAGTATAAAAGAGAAAATGAAAGGTGAACTTCGAAAACAGAAAAAGAAAAAAAAAAAGAGCCACAGAGACAGCTCGGTAGTTAAGAAGGCATGCTGTCCTTGTAGAGGACCTGAGTTCAGTGCTCACCACACATTAGGGAAATAACACCCACTCTGGCGTCTGGGGTACTGGACAGGCACGTGCGCACGCACACGCACACACTAAAATAATAATAAATCAAAAAAAAGTCAAGCCAGAAACAGATTTGGTTGTTGCAGACCTAAGGATGTCAGAGAAGGCCCTTAAAAGAAGACAATAGGCATCTGAGTAGTTGCAATGTCTACAAAAACCTACTAGATTTGTAATGTGGAAATCCTACCACACAAATTTTTGTGTCAGCTTAATATACACAGAGAAAAGGGGAAAGAACAAGTGAGTGAACGTTCTGAAGTTTCTCAAGGGCATTCCTAGCTGACCTGCTCTGACCTCACTGTGTGTGAGATGATCAGATGTTAGATTTGCTACAAGAATGCATTAAAAAAATTGTTTTTGCCAGATATTTATCTGATGGAGCATTAAAGCCTAGAATATCCACAGGATTACCCCCCCCCAAAAAAACCCTAAATACTGAGGAAATAAACAACCTAATTTGAAAGTGGCCTACGGGAACCAGAGAGACTGCTCAGCAATTGAAAGTGCAAACTGCTCTTACAGAAGACCTGCATTTAGTTCCCAGCACTCCTACCAGTAGGTTCAAAACTACCTGTAACTCCAGCTCCAGAGGGCAGGACACCCTCTCCTGGCCTCTAATGGCACCTGCACTCACATATACAAACTCATAAGCAGACACATACATATCACTTTAAAATAAAACATTTTTTAAGATAGGCTATGAACTAAACTGAGAATTCCCAAAAGAAATAAGTATACATGGCTAAGAAGAATCTTAAGAAGCATTCAATATCCTAAGCCATCAGGGAAATATATATTAAAACCATTTTAAGATTCCATGCCACCTGCTTACAGACAGAAATCTAGCATAATTGTCTTCTGAGAAACCTTGTCAAGCAGCTGATGAGACAGATACAGAGGCGCATAGCCAAACATCCGGCAGAACTTTGGGAGTCTTGTAGAAGTGTAAGGGATAGGATTGAGTGGGTCAAGGTCACCCTAGGAAGACCTAGAGGTAACTAACCTGGACCCTTAGGAGCTCACAGAGACTGAATCACCAACTAAAGGACATGCAGGGACTGGACCTACATTTGTAGCAAATGTGCAGGTCGGTCTTCATATTGTCCCCTAACAATTGGACCCAGGGCTGTCTCTGTCTCTGTTACCTGGTATTGGTTCCCTTTCTTGGGCTGCCTGGTTGGGCCTCAGTGGAAGAGGAAGTGATTAGTCCTGATGGGACTAGATATCCCAGGATGGGGTGGTACCCCAAGGAATCAGTGGAGGAGAGATGTGAAGGGGCAGAACTGGGAGGGGAGGAAGTGGGAGGGCTATGACTGGGGTAGGTGTAAATGTGAAAAAATGAATAAATTATGAAAAAATATTAAAAAGTAAAAGAAAGATTCCATGTCACCTAAGTTAGAATAGCCACACATCCATCATCAATAATAAAAATAAGCAACAAATAGTAATGTGGCTGTGGCAAGGGGGAATTCTTATGCACTGCTGGTCAGGGCTGGAAACTACTGCAGCCACTTTAGAAATAAGTCTGGAGGTTAAAAAAAAACAAACAGAAGTATAACTATCAAATGACCAAGCTATCACTCCTGGGCACATACCCAAAGAACTTTCTAGCCTACTACAGACATACTTATATGTCCAAGTCAATTGCTGCTCGATCCATAATAGCTAGGAAATGGGATCAGACCAAATGTCCATCAATCAATGAATCAATAAGAAAAATGTGGTACACATAATTGTGTTTAATGCCTTGCTTGTTCTTTGACTATCTGTGTTTATTGTCTTGCTTGTTCCTTGACTATTTGCATCTATTGTATTGTTAGACCCTCAACCCAGAACTGACCTTAATACATGCATGTAATTAAAATGGTATAAAAGCAAAAAGGAGGCGGGGGATAGAATAGGGGGTTCTAGGGAGGGGAAATGGGGAAAGGGGATGACATCTGAAATGCAAATAAATAAAATATCCAATAAAAAAGAAAAATTTGGTACATATACACAATGGAATATTACTCAGTCATAAAGAAGAACGATGACATCTGTAAATGAAACTGGAAAAATTATACTGAGTGAGGTAACTCAGACCCAGAGAGACACAGGAGAATGGGTAGGCTAACATAAACTAATTATTATGAAAAAGTCTTATAGAAATCCACTAGATGGGTAAGCTAACATAAACTAATTATTATGAAAAAGTCTTATAGAAACACACTATTTAATAAACTAATTTCAAAATATAACTTTCAAAGAAATAAGTTTAAACAGAGACACTTTCGATAGGTGGACATTTCTACTCCCAGAGGATATGGAACAAGAAACAAACACCTCCCTACAAGTTACTGTCAGGAAGGCACCCAGATATTCTAAAACAAAGAAGATAATGTCATTACTCTCATTGCCCACTAGAACTGCATGGTAAGGCCTTATTGCTGAATACACCACATGCTGTGACTGCAGGCCAACGTCAAACTGTCCAGAAAACTTCTTCCCTGTTTATCAGCCTTCGTAGTGCTAGATGATGCTATACAAGGAGCTGAAAGGGTAAAACATTGTTGTTCTTATGCAGCGCAGGAGACTGAATGTTACAGTCCTAACCTGCCAGGGAAGCTGTGCCACTGGTGTCATAGCAGTACAGTCCTTATAGGACAACTAACTGCACATAAGCAATCAATGTGAGGTGCATAATTAGTGAAGGTGTGGAAAAGAGGGGACTGCGTGCTCAGTCCTGCATGGGACATCTTTAATGACATCCCAGCCTACCGAGGCTCAAGGAGCATCACAGAAGAAGGAGCAGAAAGAATGTAAAGGCTGGGGCACAAGGAAGAGAGCTATGAACTGCTGTCTTCTGGACATGGCATGGCTCTTACGTTCATGAAGACAGTAGTTGTGGTTACCCACACAGACACACTTAAGATGAAGCTGTCAAATATATATGGGGGCTGGGCTCCAGGCCCTCCACATTACTGAGGTGCTACTGGCAGTTAATAGCTGTTCGGGAAGGGAGAATCACCCTCCTTTGGGGGTATGGCCACTAGTAGGTTTCCCATGCTCTAATGGAAGGCTGTAGACCCATGCACATATGAGTACCATTACTTGTTCTTAGAATATTATCATAGAAGAAGAGGAGGAGAAGGAAGAGAGAGGAAGGGGAGGAGGAGGAAATTAAATTAGAAAAGGTGTTAAGGGAATGTGAGTAGTGTTGGAGGTTATGCATATGACTATAGATAGATAGATAGATAGATAGATAGATAGATAGATAGATAGGCAGACACACATACATACATACATACATACATACATACATACATACATACATACA